TGTGCATAGGGTCGCTATGAGTCGGAAACGACTTGACGGCACATAACAACAACAACAACATGCATTCAAGATTCTGCTGAAACTTATCTGAAAATTACTGGAATGGCACATCAATAGAGAACTGCTAGAAGTGCAGACTGGGTTTAGAAGAGGTTGTGTCTACATAGACCCTAGCAAATCTTAGGCTGTGTCAAATCACATGAGTCTTACGGGAGAAAAATTAGTAACTTCTTCCTGTGCAAATTACTGCCTCTGAAAGCCCACTACGTTGTAAATTATGAGCCAGTTCCAACTTAATGGCATACAGAAACATCAATACTAACTAGTTACACCTTACCTTGTTGTGGCAAGACAGTAAAAAGAGTCTCCATGCCAGCCTGGATATGGTCAGTCACATGGCAATGCATCAACCATGTTCCAGGGTTGGTAGCCACCATCTCTACAACTTCAAAGGTCCCTGGAAATAGATCCACAACATCTGCCCTGTAGCGTTCTCCATTCTACAAAAAGTGTGGGGAGAGAGACTGTTTATAGGTGTAGAGATCATATAGAAAGCACCATGGTACAAAGATCATCTCAGAGCTTTTAAGAACTGTAAGACTTGATGTCTACTTCAGAGATGTAAGAGTAAAGATTCCAATGCCAGAAGAGTCAATCTTACACATTTTCTCTAAAAATTCACCCTCACAGATGGAATTAATACAAAAGATTCTTTCCTTCTATTTTTTAAACCTCTCAAGAGTAAATTACTTTTAAGCTTCATATGTGGGCTCAAAACTAGTATTACAACAACGATTTTGAAAAACTATGTGACATGAGATGAACTAGAGAGCATAATGGTTAGTGAACTAGCTCAGGTGCTTAATAACAAATACTGTATAAGACTATTATTGTAAAAACAGAAGGGTAACAAGTTATATGTGTATGGATATTCAAAGAGACAAGGGGAGAGGGCAAGAGGACTGTGGATTGAGAGGGGGTTCACAGAGTTTGGTGGGTGGAGGGAAGGGGTAAAAAAAATAAAACAATGTACTTGAATGAAACACAATATGAACAATTTATTGTATGCAGAAAAGTAACCATTAGTATCAATTTTTAAAGCAGGCTAAAATCAGTGAATTTGGTTTAAGCTTTGACTTAAGGAAAGAGTCACATATTATTTTCTGAAGAAATGGTTTCAATTTAATTTGTCCTGCTCATTATCACCTTTATCAACACTTCTAGATTTTTGTTGCTGTTTTGTTTTGCTTTTTTTAATGAACATTTAAGTTTGCTCTAACTCGTAGAGAGCCCTGTGCACAGCAGATACTGCACCATCCTTACAATCTCTTCTACGATTAACATATTATACAGTCACTGTGTAGGGTGTTTTCGTGTGGCTTTAAAAAAAATATTAGTTTATTTACAAACTTAAAATACACTGTGTAGTTTTTAAAATAACATCTTTACTCTTTAGCATTTTGAATAAGTCACTGGAGTAGATATGTTCAATGCTATATATAATTTTCTTTCTTTCCTTCATATTGGTTTGTTATAGTTGTTAGACACCCTCAAGTCCAATAATTCACAGGGACCTTATGAACAACAGATCTGAACCCTGTCCTTTTCTGTGCCATCTTCACAGTCTCTGACACATATAAGGCCATTTCTACAGTCACTGTGTCAGATCACCTAGTTAAGGATCTTCCTCTCTTTCACCATCCCTCCACCTTTCCAAACATGATGTCCCTCTCCAAGGAATAGTGTCTCATAGCAACATGCGTAAGGTATGTGAGATGAAGCTTCTCATCTTTGCCTCCAAGGCTGTATCTTATCCAAAATTTGTTCTTTTGACAGTTTATGGGATATTCAGCACTCTTATCCTATACCACAGTTCAATGGCATCAATTGTTCTGTCATCCTTAGTCATTTGTCCATATCTCAGTAGCTTAGCAAGTGATTGAAAAGACCATGGCCTGAATCAAGCTCACCTTTGACCTCAATGACTGACATCATTTGTCCTCAATAATGTGGAGAAGTCCTTGACTATAGATTTCCCCACAACATTATGTCTATTGATCTCGTGACTGCTGGTATCAAGTGTATTGATTGTTGAACCAAATAAGATGAAGTTGTTGATACTCTCAATTTTTTCCTCCATCAGGTGGTGAGGGTTTTTGTTTTCTTGAAGTTGAGATGAAATCTATATTGATGTCTGCAGTGTTTAGCTTTCTATAGCAAGTGCCTCAAGTCCTCCTCGCTTTCAGCGAGCGAAGTTGCATCATTCCCCAAAAAAAGTTTATTGATTAATTTATTGGTTTGTATACAATAATTGGTTTACATTGCATTTCATTCATGTGCACTGTTTTATTTAATCTGTCATTTACCTTGTGTTTCATAAAATCAATTATATACACAGTATTTTATGTAATTAATATTGATCTTTACCCCATCCTTTTGATTCTGCAATGAATCTTTCCTATCTTTCTTCATCGCCCTATCTGCCCACTAAACTCTACTATCCTAGTTATTTCCACCATTATTTTCCCATCCCCTATCCCTGTTCCCTTTCTCCTTTTGGACAGTTAAACACATATTACTAGTCATTCTTCTATTTTTGCAGTAATAGTCTTATGCACTATTTGTCCTTATGAGACTGAGTTGGTTCACTCAGCTTAATGCTTTCTAGACTCTCCCATGTTATATTTTACAAAATTATTGTTCCTTAGTGTGTTGCCAGTGATTCTGAACATTTCTTAAGGTGTCTGTCGGTCATCTTTTCATGTCTTTTGCTTATTTTGTGAGTGGGTTCCTATTTTTTTTCTTGTAGAGACCCTGTAGTATTACATAAACTTTTGTTACGAGACCCTTGTCTGAGATGTCATTGTAAAATATTTCCCCCTAGTCTGTAGGTTTTCTTTTCACCCTACTGGAAAAAGTTTTTGAAGCACACAGGGGGCCTTAATTTTTAGTAGATATCATTCATTGATTTTATTTTCTCTTGATTGTGCATTTCTAGCTGTATTTGCAAGTCTACTTACGCCATAGGTTAGAACTTCTGAATTCGTTCCACTTTTTGTCTTACGAAACTTATGGTTTTGGACTTTACCTCTAGGATTTTTGTACACCTTGAGTTAATTTTTATGTAATGAGTGATATGTGACTCCTGTTTCACTTTTCGGTAGGGAGCTGATCAGTTTTGCGAGCACCATTTGTTGAAGAAGTTACCATTTCCCCATTTAATATATTTTGATTCCTTTTTAAATATCAGTTTATTCTAAGTTGTTGTTGTTATTATTATGTGTGTCAAGTTGCTTGCAACCCATAGTGACCCGATGTACAGCAGCTTGGAAGCATGCCCTATTGATGTGATGAATTACACTGACTATTTTTCTTATGCTGAGCCATCTTACATTAGTATTAGGGTTATACTTGCTTCATAGAATGACTATTACAATGTTGTTATTTGTTGTTGTTACATGCCAGTGAGTCGCTTGGGCTCATAGCGACCCTATGTACAACAGCCCTAAACTTGGCTCTGTCCTGTGACAATCACACTGTCTCTGACACTCCCATTCCGATTACCCCAGTCACTGAATCAATCCACCTCATAGAGGGCCTTCCCCTCCTGTGCTATCCATCCACCCTCCCAAGTATGATGTCCTTCTCCAAGGACCGTTCTCTCCTTACAACATGAACAAAGTATGTTAGATGGAGCCTCAGAATCCTTGCCTCCAAGGAACCACCCGATTTAACCCTTTCCAGGACGAATCTGTTTGTTTTCCTAGCAGTCCATGGTACTCTCAATACTCTTCTCCAGCACCACAGCTCAAAGGCATCAATTCTCCTTCTATCCTCCTTGGTCATTATCCAACTCTCTGATGCATAACAACTGATTGCAAAGACCATGGCCTGTATCAGACGCACCTTAGTCTCCAGAGAGACACCATTGCTCTTCAGTAACTTTGGAGAGGTCCCTAACAGCAGACTTTCCCATGGCAATGCGCTTTTTAATTTTCTGGCTGCTGGTGCCAAGACTGTTTACTATGGAGCCAAGCAAACTAAAGCTGTGTACAATCTCAATCTCTTCACCATCCATCCTGATGCTGCCAATTGGTCCAGTGGTGAGAATGTTTGTATTCTTGACATTGAGCCTCAATCTGTATTGAAGGCTGCAGTCCTTGACACTCTGGAGCAAGCGCTTCAGGTCCTCCTCAGTTTCAGCAAGCAGGGTTGTGTCATCTGCATAACGCAGATTGTTGACAGATCTTCCACCAACCTTGACCCCACATTTCTCCTCATAGATAGAGCCCAGTCTCCTGGATAATCTGTTCTGCATACAGATTGAAACGGTATGGAGACAGGACACATTCCTGGAGTACACCCTTCCCAATTTTGAAGTTCCCTTGCTCTGTTCTGATGACTGCCTCCTGGTCCAAGTATAGGTTTCGCATTAGAACAATCAAGTGTTCTGGGATTCCCATTCTTCTCAGAGTCAGCCACAGTTTGTTATGATCCACACAAACACCTTTGCATAGTCAATGAAACACAGATAGACATTCCTCTGGTATTCTCTGCTTTCAGCTAAGATCCATCTAATATTAGCTACAATATCCCTAGTACCACGACCCCTTCTAAACCCAGCCTGGACTTCTGGCAGTTCTCTGCTGATGTGCTGTTTCAGTCGTTTTTGGATAATCTTCTTTAGAATCTTGCTTGCATGTGAAATCAATGAGATTGTTCTATAGTTTCCACACTCTGTTGGGTCGCCTTTCTTTGGGGTGGAAACAAATATAGATCTCTTCCAGTCAGTTGGCCTAGTGGTTGTTCTCCAGATTTCTTGGCACAACTTGGTGAGCACCTCCAGGGCAGCATCTGTTAGCTGAAATATGTCAATTTGACTTGTATAGGAGGAGATTGCCCCTCCATCTCCAGCAGAGAATCTGGTGGATTAGAACCCTGCACCTCTGGGATTGCAGTGCAGCTTCTTGCCACTAGACCACCAGAGCTCCTTGACTCATTAATTTAAGCAGGACTGGTGATAGTTTGCATATTTTATAGAATTTATTAATGAAATCATTTGGGCCAGGGTTTTTGTGTTTCGTTTTGTTTTGTTTTCCTCCTGGGAGAAGGAGGCAAATTATTTTATGACCTGATTAATTTCTTCTTTTGTGATTAATCTGTTAAAGTTTTCCACATCTGTCTTTGTCAATCTGGCTAGGGTGTCAGTTTCTAGGAATTTGTCTATTTCCTCTGTTGTTGTTGTTGTTACTTACTGTCAAGTCACCTTCTACTCATAGTGACCCTATATACAACAGCTCTAAAACCTGCCTTATTCTGAGCCAGTGTCACTGACTCTGATGCACCTATCCTCATTATCCCAGTTACGGTATCAATCCATCTTATCCAGAGTCTTACTCTCCTGTGCTGCTCCTCCACCCTCCCAAGCATGATGTCATTCCCTTCTGGCCACATGACTGAAGTATGTGAGACAGAGCTTCAAAACTCTGGTCACAAAGGA